TGGTTGGCGACCCTGCACAAAGCAGGGGGGCTGAAACTAGATGATCATTGTGGTCCTTTTCAACCCAGGCCATTCTATGATTCTATGCTATGGTTCTATGATATAGGGTAAAGTAGGCTTTCTGTGTAGAATTTATACCTAACAGATGCATTCTATGCAGGTACTGAGGTAATTTATATTTACTCATTTAATAGTTTTTGTTTGTTTGTTTTTAACATTTAAGCATATACCAATTCAAGAGGGAGATTTCAGAATACGGATGTTCACTGAACACATCATGGATTGGTCCAGATGGAGTCAGATATTCTAATCAAACCTTCAATCAAGGTAACGAGACAAGCGAGTGACACACAGGAACAAAAAAATTATGTAACCAGAAGTAACATCCAAATATATTTACTCATAATATAGGGTATTTTTATTATTAAAATATATATATATATATTATTTATTTTTTGGTTTTGTTTTTCAAAATGTAGTGCTCCCATTTAATATACTGGAACTTAAATCCATACTTGAGCTAAATATCCTGGTAAGTTTCTGAATTATTACTTCTGAAAGGGATGAGGAAAGAGTGCAACTGAAGTAGTATATCACCCTTTCTTTGGCTTCACTGGCTGCTGTTTCTCCTCATTTAAATTAAGATTAACATCACATGGAGCAGACTGGAAAGAACAAATAATGTTCCTTGTTTTCCTGAAAGTGCTTTATATGCTAAACTTCTCATTTGATCACAAATTAGTTGATCCTATGTATTCTGCTGAGCTGTTATCAGGTTTAGGCAAAAGAGAACTGATGCAACATGTACTTTTGTAAAGAATCCTTTTATTTTATCTCTCGACATCTCTTCCTCTGTGTTGCAGCTGCTGCTCTTCTGGTTGAGAATGGTAAGCGAGGGATCACATATCTTTTTAAACGTGGGACTCATGAGGAATTTGGATACACATCTCTCTGCACTGCTTTGGCATTTTACTTCATCCTCAGCTGCTGGACTGCAGGTTCTGCTGTTGCCAGTGGCCTGGTTATCCCGATGCTGTAAGCTTCATTCATCTTGGTTTGCGCTGTCTATGTAGAAGGCCTGTGTTGAGTAGCAATAACCTGAATTGTAAGCTGAAATCTTGGCAGTGGCAAAGCTATAATTGCTTGGAGGAGGTTGTATAGGTGGAACAGTCTCTCTTGCTTGGAAAGAGAGACTAAAATTGTGGAAAAGAATGAAAAAAAGTCATCCGAGAATAGCTGTAGAAGGATGATAGCCAAAACTGTATACTTTCCAAGTACAGATCACTTGAATCCTTTAGGGACCCAGGGAGAGTCTAGGCTGCTGGCTTCATCTCTGTAACTGTAGAAATATGGGTTCAGATCCAGACTTTTCATCTGTTTCCTATGCACATAATAACATGAATCTTAATCTTGGACATCAACACCCCAGACTTTGGAGAAAACTCCATATAGGCCTTTTGTTGTTGTTTTTAGAAAGCTATGGTAGACTAGAGCAGAGTTCTCACAGTAATGCTCAGAGGTTTGATGTGCAAACCGAAGTGTTCAGAGAGTAAGCAGCCATGGATGGAGGGTGGATATCAGGAATAATACAATTCTAATTCTGAGAAAATTCTAAAATGAAATTTGTGTACTTAACTGCCTGCCTTTTCCATATCTCTCTCTTTTTCTCCTACTCTTCACAGGCTGTTGTCTAATTATTTTTATTACATAATAATACCTGAAACATGGCATATTTTATTTGATAGATACTGACAATCAAGTCTTTCATCCAGCAACCTAATTTTTTTACTCACTTTTCATTTACTGGAACTGTATCCATCAATAAAATCAATCAATTGTATGAATAAATGGGGAAAAATTAGTAATGGCGTAAGATGAAAAGTCACATAATATATAACATATATGTGATATGATATATATATAATAGTTCACAACTTCTGGAAGGTGAATGTCTGTACAAATCCAGTTCACAGGCTGAAACTAGGATGTGTATATTAAATTGCATATGGAATAAAATGCTGTGTCTCACCCCAGCAATTACATGTTCAGCTGTGCTAAGTTCTGTTTTTGTTCTTTAGCATAGCATATGGTTAGTTTGAGGACTCCTGCATTCTCTTCACAGCTTCATTCCTGGTTAGCTTTACACAGGTCATTAATACCTATTACTTCATTTTGCTCAATCAGTATGTGACTGTAGTATTTTACTTGCCAAGTTTATGGGGCACAGGTAGATTTAGCTGTAAGAAATTGTATAAGGCTGGACCTCTAGAAGTGTGGTCTTTGACAGAAATAGCTGAGTGTGTACATCTGTAACCTGTACTTTTGACTGTATTCCCGTAAAGTCCATTCTCGTTTGTCTTTGACCAATATTAAGCAAGGCATGCTGATAGTTCTTTATCTACAAAATACAGTCAATTTAGCAATTTTGTGCTAGTGATTAGGACTAAGTAATCATTCATAATAACTAAGGATGATAGAGTTGTTTTGGGGAGAGGAGTTATTACAGAACTCATCAATTAAATCTGGGACAAACAGATAACTAGAAGCACTTCTGGGAGTCAGGATCACTGGCAAAAGGTGTACTTTGTTTTTTTTTCTTCTTGCATGCAGGTACATTGGAGCTTTGTATGGCAGGATAATAGGTTTGATCCTTGTTTCCATTTTTGGTGTTCAAAATAATGAATACGGAGCATGGATTGATCCAGGCCTCTTTGCTGCCATTGGAGCTGCCTCCTTTTTCAGTGGTGTGTCAAGACTAACCATTTCCCTCACTGTTATCATGGTGAGTACGTTAAATTTTCAGGTATTTGTGTGGCTATGGTTGAGTTGAGCTCTTGCTGCTGCAGCTAAATGAACCACAGATGGTGTCCCACACACACTGGACCACAGCGAAAGTATATATTCTTGGCCTACTTATTTCTAGCTTGTCTGAAGAGCTTTTTTTTTCTACTTCTTTTTTTTATTTTTCCTTTTTTCTTTTTCTTTTATTTTCTTGGGACATTGTATTTGTGAAAGCATAAGCTTGGAATTAACACTTTGAGAAGTCTCAGTATTTGATCCTATTTTTTAAACATTTCTTGGTCGCAGAAATGATATTGGCTTCAGTGGTTTACAAACAAGGAAGGAGAATATGGTATCTCTGTTTCTTCTGCATTCCAAAACTGGTAGCTCTCCCCAGTTGCAACACCTGGGGACAGTGTGTTGTAAGGTGCAGACAAAATTCAGCTCAGTCAACATAGAAATGATTTTGAGGTCACAAGGGGGAAGCCTTCACAGTGTTGAAATTTCACCTATGACTAACCAAGTCTTAGGTGCCATTGCCCAAACAGATCTCATTAAAATCTTTGAAGATGTCAGAATTCACCTGAAGTGACCAAGCGGGGATTTTTCTTTCCTAGTACACTGCTGTGCAGCATTTGATAAAGGGTCTGTTTATTGGCACGCACTCAGAACTAGGTTCTTTTCAGTGATAAGCTGTGGAAATTGTGTAAGAAGCATTTTTTGATGTTTTAGTTTGAAAGGCGGTGTATGTGCATAACAACTTATCTATTATGAAGGAATAATTTGATTATGAAAACACTCCTACTTCAGTGTCCTTGTGATGTTTTAGCACTCGTTTACCCATTAAGCACAAATGCCTTGTTATTTTTAATTATATCATTGCTATTGGCTATCTGCTGGAAGATCTGTATGTTTTGTTGGCCAGCTACAGTGTTGAAGCAAGGAAAACTGGTGCCTGAACAATAAGTTTTCTGAGAGCTCCCATTGCTACTGACTATAATGGCTCTTCCAAAGCAGAGAATTTTTAGCCTGAATTTTCTTGCAGTGGCTCAATAACTTTTAATTGAAGTATTTTGTAAAACATCACTTTAAGGTCTTGCTGGAGATACAAGTCCTGAGGGGCAAAAGCAGTTGATTGACATCTTCCTTAGCTTTGTGCCCATGAGGCTGGGCTTCATTGTAGGGAACTGAGAAGTGAAGGTGTGCCAGAACACTTGCTAGTCTTGGATGACAGAACTGCATTTCATTCAGCAATAACAGAGAAAAAAAAAAAAAAAAAACAACTATATTTTATTTGCTGCAATTTCTCCCTGCCTTCCTAATTACCTGCACTTGTTTTTTGTCCAAGAGCCTCCCAGAGCATGTATGTACAGCACGTGCAGAAGAATAGCTGGGAACTGTTTAGAGAGCTATACAAAAATCAGTTGAAAAGGCACTAGAAGAATGATTAGGATCGCATTGCAATGTATTCTGAATTCCCCTAGGTGTCATGTTATAACTCTTCTGTGCCTCTTTCTGCACAGGGAGATTGTGTTTCAATTCATGTTCATCCAAGATAAATAGCTGCACTGCTTGAGGAAATATTAATTTTTGAGGAGAAAAAAGGTCTTGGACATGACAATGCAAAAACATAATTAAAAGGTTGTGCCCTCAAACCATAAAATGCACATATTTTTCCTATATTGTCTGATGGGTTCAAAAAGAATTGAGTGTGTTTGCTTTGGCTTTTCACATAGCCTCCCATTTGGAAGCAGTTATGAATGTGGGACTTGCAGTGAACAGGTTTGTAAAATGCTTTCTTTTTTTTTTCTCACGGCAGACCCCACAGGCTTCTGCCCACCTCTTCTTTTTGGCTGCTTCCTTCTACCCCCCATGCTGACACTTTACCCTCGCCCTCCTCAGCTATTTGTGGCAAATGGTAGACGTGGTGACGTTTTCCTTGGCAGGCACAGGGACCAGCCTTGTGTTGTGTCTTCCCACAGCCTTCTGTCTCTTACGTCTTTGTGCTGAGTGTCCTGAGCTTGCTGGCCCCAGTGGGCTTTAGGTGTAGGAAGAGGAATAGCATCTTCCTACACAGTGTGGTTTGCCCCCAGGACATTCTGTATTTTTATCATTTCTTTTGTATTTTTACCTCTTAATTACACTGCCTTGCAAGGGTTGAAGAAGTAGGATGGTACTAGGCTAGCCTAGGATTAGTGTTCTTGTCCAGTACTGGTGATGCTCCTATGGGCAAGCTAAGCTGTTCAGAAGCCATCTGCAGAGAAGGGCTTGTTTTACACTGATTTGGATCCTTCATTCTCTGAATTGTCTTCCTTTCTGTTCACACATAATGCAAAATACCCCTAACTCTCTCCACTTTCCTGTCTGTTCTGTTCAAACACAATTAAAGCAATATATCATTTTATTGGCCTAATTTATTTCTCAAAGAGATCTTTACTGGTGGATTTGGGGAATGTGATTAATTGTGAAAAGGTTAAGACTCAAAAGCCTCCTCTGAGTGTGAAACACTGAAATATCAAGCTTTTGACAGATGTAGAATAGAGCAGAAAATAGAACATTCCTTAAGATATGGATGGGGAAATGCAATGTCATTGTAGAAACCAGAAGAAATTCTCCATGGGGGGATTAAATCGCATTGGGTCCTTCATTCTCTAGCTAATGGTGGGTGTGGCTGCTATGAGTGAGTGGCTTGTGCTAATGAGCAGTGTCTTGCTTCTGAAATAAAATGACCATCTGGTGGTTGGTTGGAGCATTATGAAAAGTTACTTATTAATGTCTGCCTGTTTTTTTGTTTTTTAATATGGTAGAAAGAACAAGCTGGTTTTAATGTCAGCTGGTTCATAAAAGTCAGTACTGAAGGCTCAGAGATGAGAGTTCGTGCTTTCTGCTCTCTGATATTTGGATCAGGACAGGTATTCTGGCAGAGCATGTTATATAGTTAACTACATTGCTGTAAGTACACTGCTGTTAAACAGAATCATTAAGGTTGGAAAAGACCGCTAAGATCCCCCAGTCCAACCATCAGCCATCCCCACTGTGCCCACACACCACGTCCCTCAGTGCCACATCCACACGGTTTGTGAACACCTTCAGGGACAGTGACTGCACCACCTCCATGGGCAGCCTGTGCCACTGCCTCACTGCTCTTTTGGAGAAGAAACTTTTCTTCATATCCAACCTGAGTGTAGTAAAGAAATTTCATACTTTTTATACGCTTTTAAGAAATTAAAACGAACATTTATTTTATGGAAATTTTTATATGCTTCACAGCATTGTTACAGATCTTCTTGGATAAACACAATAAAATAACTGTATCAGCAGGTAGTAGTGATTAAATTCTAACCTCATCCTTTTCTCTGCATTTCATCAGTACTTCAAGATCAGACAGGATGTGCTTACCTAAAATTACAGACAGGATGTATTGCTGCAAATTCTGTGGCTACCCTTCTCACTTCCTCTGAGCTTAAATTCTTTCATAAGGAACTGAAGCAGAGCATCAGCTGTAGGCATTATGATAGTAGATGTTAAAGGCATGTCTTATTTTACACACAAGAAGCAAGCATATAGCACAAGCTTTTATGTGATCTAACTAATTAGGGTGAAGTTATAGGATGAGCAAGATGCTAGAAAAGAAAGCACAAGACTTAAAACACATGGAAAATCTGCCTGGTATCCCATGTTGCCGAATGGTTAGAAGATGCAAGATGCTGCATTTTGAACCATTTGCAGTAGGAATGATGCAGGAATGTAGGATGGCTTTGAAAATGCTAAAATGAGTATAAATTATGGATCTTTTCTTGCTGAATGGGATTGTTAGGTTGTAGTATTTTCCACCTCTGTGGAGCTGAAGAGTCATGGCTTGGATTGTGAGCTGCTATATTTGAGTCTGGGTTGGTACCTGGTTATACCTTGTAGCATGTTGGTGAACTCCCCCTGCTCACTTCCACAAGTCATTAATACTGTGCTCTTTGGAGTGATCTTTTGTGATGATGTAATCAGCTTACATCCATTAATATACCACTTCTTTCTAGGAACTTCTTTTGAAGAGAAGGCTCCAAGGAGATCTGATAGGAGCCTTTCATTAAAAGGGGAACTATAAGAAAGAAGGGGAGGTTCTTTAGCAGGGTCTGTTGTCATAGGATAAGGGGAAATGGTTTCAAACTAAAGGAGGGGGAGATTTAGATTGGATGTAAGAAAAAGGTTTTTCTTTTTTTAATGATGAATGCAGTGAGGCACTGGAGCAGGTTGCCCAGAGGGGTGGTGTAATAACCCACCTCTGGAGGTATTCAAGCTCAGATTGGACAAGACTCTGAGCTGTAAGTGTCCCTGTTCATTTCAGGGAAGTTAGACCCTTCCAACTCAAATGATTCTGTTCTATTAAAGGGAGTATTTTAATAGAAATTTTGTGTTGACTGGTATATTTTGTGATGTTTTTGTTTTGTCAGAACATGAGTGACTTTTCCAATTTTCAGTGGCAACTTGCCTACTGCCTGCTTTATTTGCTGCTGTTTTGGTCCTGCTAGCAGAGCAAAGGCTCCCTGAGAGGGGGGGATGCCCAGAGAAGCTGCGGATCCCTGGAAATGTTCAAGATGGTCAGTCGGATCTAGTGGAAGGTAGCCATAGCAGAGGGGTTAGGACTAGATGATGTTTAAGTCTCTTTCAATCCAAACCATTTCATGATTTGATAGCTCTGACCGCTCCACAGGCAGGCTCCATGCTTCTCCTTGTGCCAAACGCCAGCACTCATCTGTGTTCTGCAGCTTCCTCCATTCAGAGGGGGCCACTCCTGTCACCCGGAACTCCTGTATACCCTTCTTCCCTTCTGCTCATTCAGTTGATTGTTCATGTGTGATATCTTATGGCCAAATACAGCAAAAGTTTCTTAACTGCCTAATTTTGTGGTGGGAGTGGCTATAAAGATTTAAGTCTGCAATAGGCTGCTTTTCCAGCATCACGCTGGCTAGAATCATTTAAAATAAATCCACTCTATTTTTGAATGAA